TCGCTAACAGGCTACTATCACAGCTGCCCGTTTTTAACAAAGCTATGAAAAACCACAAAATGTGTTTATCGTCTACAGAGGAGAGTGTGCAGACAGCTACAAAAGCACACTCCCCGAGTCCAAACAGTCAATTCACTGACAAGATGTCAGCTTCCGTATGGATTTTACAATTCTTTTACTTGTTCTTCAGGCACTTCATGGTCTCACATGGGTAAAGTGTATGAACCGGTACGGCCCCTCCGGCCCTCTGGCTCGAGTCTGTTAAATGGACTAAAACATCTGGGGAATCAGCTTTTAGCTACTATGATCCGAGCAGCTAGAACAATCTGCCTTCGGATCTGAGAGCTGCTGGAAGTGTTCAAGTCTTTGAACGTTAACGTAAAAACATACCTCTTTAAGAATGGTTTGTAGACCATTTTTTTGACATTATTGACATCTTATAATTTTGTTAGATTTTTTTAAATGATTTTATTCACTTATTTTATTAGATTTAAGTTGAACATGTTTGTTAGATTTTATTTTTATTTTATTTCTCCGTCATTTTGTTCTATTTAAGTTGTATAATTTAATTACATTGTATTAATCTAGTTTTTATTTAATGCTGTTTTACTTTAATTACTGTTATTAGAGCTATTATCTCTATTTTGTCACATTGTTATTGTCTCCTGTGCATTGTCTTTTCTGTTGTTTCCATGGCCCACACTTATACCGTCTTATTTTTGGGCTTGTCAGTCACCTGTGAAGCCCTTTGACCTGCATTAACCTGTATGAATAAATCAAGTTTGATTGATTGATTGAAAAGAGTTATATGGAGAACAGTACCTGATACCTGGTGCTTTCTTTAATACCACTTTGGTTGAGGTTCCGCGGTGGCAAATAAAATAGAAAAAAGTACTGGTACCAAAAGTGAGTGAAGCATTGCATTAGCCCGCCAGCACACCCTGCTACTGTATTATTCCCTAAAAACAAACCTGTTTTGAGTGTTAATCCTATTAAAGTCACCATAATACCAGCCTATGGCCTTTTACGTAACACGACAAATACGATTATGTTCTCTGTAGCATTCCTCCTCTGCCTTTCAGAAAATCCTGTTCCACACTCCAAAAATCAGACCACTTTACACCAGAAAAGCGATAACGATAACTTTTTCTGCTATTCACCACTTATTACTCTTGGCTGCAGTTAACGGGTGATCGCATTTTAGATAACATGCATCGAAATGTTAGTCGGAGAGAAAGCAAGGTCATTGAGGAGTTAAAGACGGCCCGATGAGTGTGAGAGACAGGGGCTGATATAATGGATACAATGCATTGATTTGTTCCCGTTCTCTTATTCTCACATAACCTACCATCATTGTGACGGCTTCCTGCAATGTACTGTGATTAGGTGTGCCAATATTTGTCCTGCATCAATATAATGTAATACATTTCAACAGCACCACAGAATACAGCCTAAATCAACACTTCTGCATTGATTCTGAGGTGCCTCGTGGAGTTTTCTTGTAAACGGAAAAGAAAAAGAAATTGTGTTTACGTTCACTGGTTCTCACTAAGACGCATTGTGTGTATCCTTGACGTATTGAATGCATTTCCCTCCTAATAAAACATTTGCAAAAGAGGATTTCTCAAAAAAGTTTGAAACATTCATTCTTCATTTTTTTTCTGTTAGCGCGTCGCAGCATATCTGAGCGTGACATCATTATGTATTGCGTCACAGACGTGTGTCCTCATGCGTGTGCACGAGACAAACAAAACGGGGACCCCCCCCCGTAGAGGAACTGCTTCAGCTGTTGCTGGGCTGTTGACATGGATTGCACTGGACTCGGTGTAGCGAACAGCTCAGCAGCAGCAGACGGCTTCCTAGATTTTTATTACTGAACTATGACCAGGAGGGTCTGAAAAGTGAAGCCAATGCTTAAGTGCCTTAAACCTGCATTCTCTCTAATGGCCATCAGGGGGCGACTCTTTCGTTTGCAAAGATAAGTCTGAATGTATATAAGTCTATGAGAAAATGACTCTACTTCTCTCTTGATTTATTACCTCAGTAAACATTGTAAACATGAGTTTATGGTCTCAATCTCTAGTTTCAAGTCTTCTTCAATACAGCATGATGTTCATTTAGTGAATTATGGTCCACTTAGAGTGGTTCTTAACCTTATTGGAGGTACCGAACCCTGCAAGCTTCATCAGAGCATTCACCGAACCCTTCGTAATTGGAAAAATAAAATATGATTTCTTCAAAACATAGGTATATATTTTATTAGTGCACAAAATTAACCATGCATCAGTTGCACACAAAATCACTGTGTTCAAAGAACAAAGCCAACAAAACATGAATTTCACACAAAAACATAGCTCAATGAATATTTACTGCAAATCAATGTGACTTTTGCTGTTGCCTTTCAGATACAAGTTCAGAAATGCGCGGCTTCACCTTGGCAAGTGCCACTCTCATATCATTTTCGCAACAAAGTCTGTTCCTTTTCTTAGTTTTTATGTCTACCATCCTCAAAAAAGATTGCTCGCAAAGATACGTTGTAACAAAAGGTGCGAGTATCTCAAGGGCTTTCTTAGTAATAAGAGGGTATGGTACGATTTGGTGACACCAAAACGTTGAGAGCTGTTGTTGTTCTGAAGAGTTGCTGTTGAAGCTGGCTCTGCTGAAGTTCAATGATTTCTTCGAGGTATTCATCGTTGACGTCTGCTGTCGCAACACTAAACGTGAACAGCTGTCTCACCCATGCTGGATATGACTCTCTGGTGGGGAAGTATCCGTCGAGAGACTTTGCGAGCTCATCTAAGTGCATGGCAATTGCTTGCTTCAGCTCCCCAGGTACAGAAATGTCTCCAATTCCAGACACGTCTTCGATCTTACTTACACAGTCGTCCAGCAGGGGAAAGTTTGCGAAGTTATCATTCTCTGTTCGTCGTTTCCATATAGGTAGCTTTTTTTGAAACGCCTTCAGGTTTTCTTCCGCTTCGATGATGTTGACTCCACCGCCCTGCATCTGTCGATTGAGATGATTGAGAGCATCGAAAATATCGGCCATGTACGCCAAAATGAGAATGAACTCAGAATTTTCGAAGCAATCTGCATGACAATGTTGGTACTGTGATGCTGTGAGGATCGGTTTGTCGATGGGTACAAAGCCGTGAACAGGCAGAGTAGCCTTTTCATCGAATCTGGCTCTCTTCACCTTGAATTCAGCGAGCGTTGTGTTCTTGTATTTCCCATCTCCATGCAGCTTTAGGAAGTGTTCCTTTAGTTTTGCCGGTGCTGGACTAGAATTGCTCAACTTGGCATTGCAAATCATGCATTGAGGACACTGACTCCCATCACGTTCCTTTATACACGTGAATCCATATTGTACACATTCGTCCAACCACTTTCTTTTTTTGCTCGACATAGTTAGTATGAAGGGATTGAAAGTTAAAAAGAAAATCACAAATGACGTACAATCACAACAGCCACAAGTCGACTACTGAGCGCACCAAGTTCCTGATCAGGCAATGTGGCGTGATCAGCTGCAGCCAATGATGGCCAAGCGGAGCGTGACGTCACAAATAATACGAGTGGACTGAATTTATCTCACCCCGGGTTTACACCGGACGCTGAATCGCCGCGCCAAGGAAAGCCAGGCGCCTCCTTTCCGCCCCCGTTACACAAATGTGCTGTTCACATCGGCTGCGATGCGCCGCCTCGCGCCCTGCACCGATGGTTTCGGCGTCGAGTCTATTTTTTCCGCTCGCCGCGAGCGTATCGCGCCAGAAAACACACTGAAAAATTATTTTAACGATATAAATGACATATCTTATATTATATAAATGATCAAATATGCATCCCATACTTTGTATTCCCCTTCTGTTGTCCTGCAGTTTCAATATCCCCGATATTTCCCATCTGCCCATCCACTACAAACAGACAGACAGAGAGAGAAAGAGAGGGTTGGGGGGGCTATGAAGACCATCATCATTTACCCCCGAACCCCTACATTGAACAGGTTACATACAACAACAAGCGGAGAAAGCAGAATCGCGGGCTGACCGGCGCGGAGAAATGCGCGTTCGATGTGAACAGCCAGGCGCTTGAGAATGGCGCTGCACGGCGCTTCAGCGTCCGGTGTAACCCCGGCGTAACACGGCGAAGAAAAATTGTGTGTTGCCAATTTTTTGACGGCCGACAAAAACGGCCCGACATTGCTAGTGCGAACCGGGCTATACTGTATGTGTCTTGACCCCTGCCGAACCCCGGAGAGTGACTCACCGAACCCAGCTTAAGAACCACTGATTTAGAGTCAAACAGACCATAAAGCATAGTATGCTTTGCTTTATTCTCTTGGAGCAGTCTGTGTTTTCGTTTTAGAACTTTAACCCATTCACAGTATGTTTTCAGTTCATGAAAGGGAATTGTAACATTTTGTTGTACTTAGGCCCACCCTCCCATGTCACCTCTGGTATATGAAAACCAAGATGGTGACAGCCAAAAAACAAAATGCAGAGGCTTGAGGCATCAAAACAGCAGTCCACAAGCCAATGGGTGATGTCAGGGGGACTATTTAAAGTCTATGACAGAGACCCAGAATTCTATTCCACTTCCGTTAACAATTCTGCAAGGACCCCGCGGCTGTCAAAACTGGCCAAAAACGACGGTCCAGTATTTGTCCTATAAAAACACATCGGTTCGAACTGTTCAAACATCTATTTCATCCCAGACAGTGAGACATTTTTTTGGGACCATTATGTGCCGAGTATAGAGACCAAAACCCAAAATAGTGCTCTAGAAACCTGTGCTTTAACCACAAATACTAGGCTGTCAAAAAGAAAAATAGTTAAACCTCATATCTGTCTTTAAAACGGTCAGTAAACTTAGTTCAGCTCCCTCCACAGCATTTCTGCACATTAAAAACATATTTCAAGTTAATATTGGGGGGGGGGGGGGGGGGGGGGGGTGGGTTGGGGGGGGGCTGATGGCTGATCTGGGGTCCGCACAGAGCGACTCACTTGGCCAGCTTGGTCTCTATCTGCTGCCGGATTTCCTGCCGCTCCTGGTCGCTGCGCACAGGGAAGATGTTGCGGTCCTCCAGCTCCTGCTTACTGGGCCGGTTCCGAAGCTTCACGGCCAGCAGCTCCTTCTTCATCCTGCTCGGGAGGGTCCCTGTCGCGGGGGAGGAGCACGAGATTAAGGTCAGTGGCGCCGCAGTGGCTCTCCAGCTAAACCCCACTGAACTGATGCCAATCGCCACACGGTGGGCTTTTGGGCTTATTCTCATAAGACCTAACACCTTATTAATGAAATACCTGGATGCATACTTGTTTCAAGAAGGGTATGCACAGAGTGTTATGTTTGTAGCTTACTTATATAATGCCTTCAATGTTATATACGTACCAGAAAAATGTTCACCCCCTTGGATATTTTCCTGTTTTTGTACAACTACGATCATGGTAGCCTTGTACCATAACTGATAAATACAGAGTATACATTCTTTATCTGAGCTTAAATCCTGTCAATTCAAAAGACGTTTATTCATTTGGTGATGTATATTTTCCTGCTGCCATCTCCTCCACCACACATTTGCATCGCGTCACGCTCATGCTGGTGGCGTGCCTCGTCTGTCACATATTTTCTTTTGCCTCCAGGGTCACAGCCTTGTTAAACCGCAGGCGGCTGTGCACCACCGACCCGGATGAATGGCCGAGAATTAGGCCACCGGAGCAGATGTTGACGGCTCGCCCGAAACCTAACACCGGTAAGCCCGCCGTTCGTCATCGCCGTTAAATCTCCCTGTCATGCCCTCACTGTAAACAAACATCGGCGGAGGTTATGCCGCCTCATTATCCAACGACAAGTTCGCCCAGATTTTGTTGGCTTTGGCGCATTGAAAGCGGCAGATTGATGGCAAATGACTGTCTCCTGTCAGCAGACCCACCGGAGATGACGGAGTCGTTCCAGCTGTCCTGGTCGTTCAAGTATTCGTCCAGACGCCAGTTCTCTTTGTTCTCGTCCGACTCCTTCCTGCTCTCCGACTCCCCGGCGGGCTCCCTCTCCGTGCTGGACAGCCGGCCGTCCAGCCGGCGTTTCAGAGAGGAGCGCGCCTCCTTCGTCTGGAAACTGAGCTCACACATCACAAGACAAGCCTGTCAATTACAACTTTAACATGAGAATTGTCAGTTGTGATTGGCTAGAAGATGTCGATTACAGGGCTGTAACGGTTCATGTAATCATACTGAACCAGAACAATTATTCCACGTATTTAGTGTTTCCAATTTCATAGAATAATACATGTTTTTTTTCAGTTTTATAGCCTATTGTGACCTCTTGGGAAAGTGTTTGATCGGTGTAATACAGCCGTGTTTCAAATGTTCCTTATTTTCATAACGTTATACTACCGTTGCCAGGGAGTGTCTTTGACACTTGCACTACTGTCACTGCACTGCGGATTATTGTTTTCTGCGAACAGGGCCTTTGAATATTCTCACAGGGATTATACCATATCATTTATTAATGATTTGTTTTTCAACACCAACAGGAATAGAAACTATACGAACAAATTTAACTTAATATTTCAAGTTCATGTGTGAGGAAGTCTGACCTGTCCTGTCTGTGTTTGGTGGCCAGGGCGCGGTGCAGTTCCTCGATGATGCAGCTAGGGGGCAGCTGTGAGTGCAGCGTCCCGAGGTGGGGGGACCCGGTGGGCGTGAGGAACCTGCCTCTCAACAGGGAGCCGTGGGAGTCTTTGGGAAGAGTGAAGTTCCTGGGTAAGGTGGCTGGGGACTTCTTCACTGGAACTGAAGGAGCACCTGGGAAGGAAAACGCCATCAACGTGAGAAGACTGCTGCAAAACCAGCGGGCCTTTTGCATCGGGGGTCCTCGTGGTTCACTCACAATCCAGGCTGCCCAGTCTGGTGAGCAGTTTGACGTGCGCTTTGGGTGGAGGAGAGGTGGCGGCTCGTACGGGCGGGGCCGCCGTCGCCTCCCGCTTCCCTTCGACGGCCTCCGCCTTCCCCGCCGGGCGCTCATCGCTGCGGTCGCTCAGCGAGGTGCTCTCGTCTTCTCCGTCTTCACTCTGGCTGGGATCTCCCACCGTCTTTGAATCCTCGGTCACATCTTGCACTGAAACGAGACATCAGCAATGGTGTGATGCAAAGGTTTGGCTTGTTCAGGAGGTCTCTGTCTCCACCTAGTGGACAGTGGACAGGACACAGTGTTTCAGACTGAAGCTGCCACCAACATGGCTGCACTAGTTTAGGTTTCATCCTTTTGATCCAATAATCAATATTTTTATCAGCTTAAATCACTAGCAGGAGCCAACATATAGAAGAGTATCCTCTCTTAATTTACAACAGTCAAAACTTGTAATGTTTAATGCTGTGCACCACCAATATCTGTCTTTTTTTGTATCAACCAATTTTGTTGCTTTACTTGAGATTCAATTTTACTTATTTTATTCATTTTCCTTTTTGTTGTTTTTAAAACAGTTCCATTGATTGTGTTTCTGTGGGTACATACAAAAGATAATCTACATACAAAAAATGTAATAAATAAAGTTGTACAAATTACAAAACTAGATGTGATCACTGAGAGGAAATTGAAACAAAAAGATAAAAGGACTTTGTATGAATTGACCTTTTTTCCCCTCTCATTGAGCTTTGGTGGTACACTACACAATAGTTCAAATATTTTTACACAAGCACATAACATAAACAAACACATCTTGATATGGATACCTTAGATTTCTTTTAATTTCAATTTCTGACGAGGATACAAACTGAACAGGTCATTTCACAGTGCTGGGCAGTTAGTGTACAGTGGGTTTCATTAGAAACTGACATGGGAACAGGGTTGGTGAGATGTGTGAGCTGTGAGAATAAAACAAAACAATAACGCTGTGCAACGTAAAAACCAAAACAATGAGCTTAAAGATGTCAAAGGGCCGAGGGGAACGGCAGAGTCACGTGACAATTCTGTTGAGATTCAACCTTTCTTATTACAGAGTCACTTATCCGTTGTTATAGTGTAGATACATATCGATTAGCTTTAAGTTCAACAGTTCTCTTCTTCTGCTTCTTTGTACTGCAGGAATGTGTAATCGTCCAATGCAGCTTTAACCTTTAAGGCCTTTAATCACCGGGGGTGTGACAAATAAATGACAAGAACATTCAAAATAGTCTAATGAGAATTTCATGTCTAGGGCTTTTATTGTGAAAGGTAAGAATGGAAAGAGTGTTTCTGCTCTGGATTGCCTTTGTCAAAGTTGAAAGGAGTAACAAAGTTTTCAGTCCTGGTTTTGGAATATGGAACCTATGTGTTGCTTTTTTAATATTATGAATGTAACAACTCGTTCCACTTAACGTGATTGGTTGATTCCTTTACTCGCACTGTACTCTACCTGTCGAGGCCTCTAAATCGCTGCCCAGGTCTTCGCTGGTGCTGGCCAGAGGCGCCACTGGCTCCTTGTCTCTGTCTTCGGCGTCAGACTGAGTCGGGGTGTCCGGATCCTCACCGTTGCCCCCGCAAGCGAGATCCGACTCTGCGTAAAGTGCACAGTGGAAGAGGACAGGAATGAGTCCGCACAGTTGGGCCGAACAAATTAAGTGTGATCAGCCCGGAGTCACATGCGTGTGTGTGTGTGTGTGTGTGTGTGTGTGTGTGTGTGTGTGTGTGTGTGTGTGTGTGTGTGTGTCTCATTCTGCACCTGTCTCCGTCTCCCCGGGGTTCCTCCTGACGAGGTCATCTCTCTTCTGTCGTGCAGCTGCCTTCTTCTCCACGGCTAAACAAAGCAAACATTTAATGAGACTGATGCACCGATTGCACGGACATCCGGAAAAAAAACAAAAACACACATGTGACACGAGAAGGAGCATCACGGTACGTCTCACTCACCGGCAGGGGGCTTCAGCTTCTCGTTTTTCTTTTTCCTCCATTTCCAGGGCTTGAAGATGCGTCCCAGGCTGGCCAGCTTGCTGTTGCGGCGGACGGGAGGCGTTCGGACCCCCGAGACCAGGCAACCCGAGTGTAGCGCCCTCTGCTGGTCCATCACGTCTACGACACAAAGCACACGGTCTAAAAATAAGGGTCAGGTAACAAAATCCGCCCTGAAATGCAGGCGGCGGGGACGTCAACGCTTCGCGGTGAGGACTGACGGAATTCCTTTAAACCACCTTCCAACACGACGGGCTGAACACTGCTGACGAGCCCATCGTCATGTGAGAGCAGCAGATGCGGATCACTGGCTGTAAATGCCTTATTGATTCTGGCCTAGTTTCTGAGAAGCAGCGAGCGCCATGGGGGGGGATGACGACAGAGAATTGCATTGTTTGTGAGTGACTCACATGGTTTCAGGGCAGCCAGACCTTCCTGGCCCCCGAACACACACGGACAATAGGACGCTTTTAAGAAGACACGCAGGGAATGAATACATGTTGTCTAAGGTCAGTGCAGACAGCATGCAGGCCCCCGCTGGTTCTTACACAACTCTGGGCTCCGTCCTTATCTTGGCGGAGTACACAGGAAGCTACTGACATCATGCAGTGGTGACAGAACAACACGGAGCGTCCTGCTGCGTCTCAATGCTCCGTTTGTTTACTTGTGCTGTGTTTTTTCGTCCTGTAGTTTTTTCTTTTGTGTGGGTACTGGCAAGAATATATTCCAGAGTGTGTGTTGTGTTTTAAGGGCCAATAAATCCCATGCACATGGTTGTAGCACTTTTACATAATGCTTAATATTTAAAGTGTTTTGTTGAATCATTAACACAAACAAACAACAGTGTTATTGTCAGATTATGCCACCTTGGACTCTGGGATAATTAACGAAGTAATCAATTAATAATAAAAAAATAACCGACTAATTAATTAAAGACCAAGTGACAAATCATAGTTTCCTAGAGCTAAAGGCGACATAATCGAATAGCTTATTTTGTCTAAAACTCAAATATATTCTGTTAACTATCATACAAGACAAAGAAACAAAGACAAAAAAAACACATCTGAGAAGCAGGAATCAAGAGAACGTTTGACACTGTTGCTCGAAAAACCACTCAAACCGATCAATTAACGTGGACTTAACGATGACTCGGCTAACAGCACACAGAGGCTTTGATTGCTCTTCGCAGATGAAGACGAGTCAATCGACGGCTATTCCTCTTAGCTGGACTTCTCGAAGCACTCTCACATCTGCAGTCTAAGCTGTAGAGGAGGGATCACGATTACAGACACACAGAAGAGCTCAGAGAGAGAGAGCGAGATCCTAGGAGAAAGGACAGAAATAGGAACTCCTACAGAGTCTGGCTCCGACAACAAGCTGACACCTCGGGGAGCGTACAGCTGAGCCGTGGGCCGTGCAGCTCCACGAAACACTCACATTTTCTTGCATCTAAATCCACAACATCTGCTCATTAATACCCCTCAAGGAACAAATTACATACACTTATCACCGAAACCCTCAGTGATGATAGCGATGCAATTCAGGCCGAGATTGTTCCACAGGTGAGGGACTTGGGATTTGGCCGTGGGATTCGTTTGGTGGGAGGTGGGCAAACAAACGTCAGGAAAAGTGCAACACGTTGTCACGGTGCGACATTAAGAACAACGTAGAAAAAAATCTCACGTATTCATGTATTAAGAAAAAACATTCTCCGGTTCTACAAAGAGATGCAGGGAGCAGCCGCTGGGATGTTTCCCGTAGGTGGTACGTTCACACAGACGTCGAGCACAGACACATGCCATCACACGAGTCATTCACGTATCGACATCAAAAAGTTCCCAAGGAGCGGGGAAGGGGCTAGGGCTGCAACTAGACATTATTTTCAAAATTAATTAATTAATTGTTTAACCAATGAAATAGCCATAAGAATTTCCTGACGCCCAAAGTGATGATTCTTTTGTCAGACCAACAATCTAAAACCCAAAGAAATTAAATTGACTTGCACATAAGACAAAGAACAGCAGTACCTCCTCACACTGGAGAAGCTAACAACTGATTGTTGTTGTTGTGGCATTTATACTTGAACTTTGCTGTTCATGGAAACCAGCAAACTGGAGGTTCCAGCTGTCTCATCCGGCTACAGAAGCTACAGCTTATTATCACCTACACATCATCCTCACTGCGTTTACGAGTGCGATGGAAGAGACCTCTCCTGCATGAGAGGACACAGCACAACCGCAGCAACACAAGGCCAATCACTGCTGATCCAGGACCAGCAGCTTATTGACGGCTTGGCATTCCACCGACACTCAAACCCGCTTGACCGAACAGTGAAGAAGAAGGAGCAGGTCTGTCGCCCAAAGTCATGTGTGACGAATCCAGGTCAAGCTCATGGTAGCTGCGGCGGCACGCCCCGGGTCAGGCTGCCGTTGCCACGGTTACCACGCTGGATGCTGCAGAGAGAAGAAGGCCCCTCGGAGGCGGAGAATCACCGCGGCATGAGGAATAGGGAGTTGCTGGGTGGACAGGGGGGAAAGGCTGTTGCCACACACACAGAGAGAGAGATGGGGGAGCTGCAGCCAATCACGGCCCGGCATGCAGCGATGCATAATGTAAGTCTGGGAGCAACTGGATTTTCTTTTTGATTTTGCAAGTTGTGTTGAAATATTTATTTAGGTTTTCTGGGTTTTGAGCGAACGTCAGTGTGTCTTTGCTGCAAACGCAGGGAAAAGAACCCCCTTTATAAGCAGGAAAACATGTCACGGGGCATGATGAGGACTCAAGCGCAGACAGTCAGATGAGTGAGAAAAGGCGTTTTATTCCACAGAAAAGGAAATAATTACCACAACACAGGGAGTCCAAGCACAAGACAAGAGACGAGGGGGGAGATCCAGTGGGAATCGAGGCAGGGCAGGCAGACGGGGAAACCGGGAACAGGACGAGACAAACGGGCGGGTAGAACACAAACAACGACCTGGCAGTGAGTGAGTGATTGACAGGGGTTTAAGAAGTGACTAGAACAGGTGAGGAGAGTTGTGCTGATGATGGAGTGCTTGATTACTGATAAGGGACAGGTGAAGGGAGTTGGCTGAGTTGAAGAGTGAGGAGCTACAGAAAAACACACACAGAACACATAAGGCAAAGCCTGATCTTGACAAAACAGACCACACAGCGTACTTTACTGTAGCCGGAAGCAGAGGTCTGCTGCTGCAGGCAGAGAGCCTGCACATGTCCCAGCATCCTCATCACTCACATCTCTTACTACTTGTTATCAGGAGTTTAGCGAATAAAACACTTTATATCACCAGGAAAAAAGTCACGTTTTAATACGAGTTATCACAGTGATATCGCATTTTAAAAAATTAATATCATTCAAGAATTCTTCACTACAAAGTCGCTGCTGACTGTTACAGTGATATCACGGGAGGACATCGACATAGCACCGCTTAGTAGCATTCGTAAAAAAAAAAAACTAGAAGTCCCAGCAGGCACATTACAACAACGTTATTATGTTTGGGGTAAATAGGTGGGACGCCTCGCCACAAAATGACCATAAACGAGTGTAATATTGAGTCAAATAACACATACATACATGCATATCATATGATACGCAGCTTCCCAGTCCTCCTTCAGCTCTCGGTGTTCACATCATAGTGTTCAGCCCACGGGCTCAGACCGAGCGGAGATCTGGACGCTCTCGGAGCGGCGGTCTATTCTATGAAATGAACGAATGACTAAAAAAGACTTAACGTGACAGTACTTATTATTTTATTTTTTTAAAAGGTGTAAAATACTAGTTTAACGGCGACAGGAGCGGTCCACTTGGAGTGACCAAGTGTGAGCCACCAAGTACATCTGCGGCTACTGTTGGTGTGCCATGTGGACCCCGCCCCTCTGAGGACGGGAGGAGGAGGGCAAATAAACTGGCACACACTCATCACTGCAAAACATACTGTTTCAGATGCCGACAGTAGGTTACACACAAAGGGTTAACGGCGGATACGGTTAAAAGACTGCTAAAAAGAAGAAGAAAGGAGAGTCATTTCTGAAGCATTTGTAGCCTATGTGGTTGCTGGAGCCTTTGAATTGTATCGCACACAGAGAGGTGTTGGTAGACTGCCCTCCATGTAGTGACAGGGCCGTATCTACGAGTTAACAAGGTCCGAGGCTAAGCCCAGACTATCTGGGGGCCCAGCGTCTGCGCCGCAAGATTTAATTAAATGTATGACTACCGCAAACATTACATTTTTATTAGTAATGTGAAACCAATTGCTCTGAACAAAATGAACATCATCAGTTATTAATCAAGACTGTCTAAACTGCATAATCTAGAGAATCTCGAGAAGATACCTCCATCTAACCCTGTAATTCAACCTGCTCGTCAACACGGGGAGCAGACATGCGTAAGTAAACGCGCATCGGCCTCACAATACGGCTGCATTGCCATCGAGACGTCTCTTCACGTGTAATGGGAGGAACATACCACCTCCTATGCCTATTTCGGTTTAACAGCAGTAAGCAGTAAGCACGGATCATTATCCGTGTCGGATAATGATCTTTTTCCGGTAACGTCCTTCCGGTAATATTTGCTGACTTTTTGCATAGAGTGTAAACGCCTCCGTTCATACTCGGAGCTTGCGCGCCGTCAGCGGAGGCTAAGCACGAGTCTAAACAAAGCTTTAGAGCCTCTGACAGACACATACAATACATTGGCATAGCTCGATATGAGCGCATGTGAATGATATGTAGAAGGAAGAACAATTTAATTTGAAATAGATAATTGCATTATCACAGACCATGCAGCTTTCATGTCCTCTTTAAGCTCTTGTTCACGATACCTCCCAGAGATCAAACCAGGCCCTGCCTTCTGGAAACTGATGCTTTTACAAGAGTACATGTAGGTTTGTAAATAAGCATTACAGACAGATACGTTGTTGTGGTCAATATAAGCTTATTGCAAATATATCTGCAGCAGCGTATGTTTCAAAGTTTGTCCACCAGAGAGCACTTACAATTTTTTTTTTGTGTTTTTTTTTTTTAACTCTGAAACGTTCCACTCAGTACATATCCTGGTCATAATTCTTTCCTAAGTGATTCTATGTTATTCCCAAAGTAGAGGACCGACCAACTGACGGACGGATCGATATTGGCATCCGTAAAGACATTCTGCTAACTTTGCTAAAAAACATCTCAGCAAGTTAACATAAAAAAATATCAGGCTGCTACTTCAGGTCAGAAAATTATAACACGAAAAAATACCACAGGTGATAACAGAAGACTCACTGCAGTCATATTTAGCACAAATAACCTTGCAATAATACAGGAATACTGCTTTTAGTCTTTTATTAGGTTCAATGTTGTCTAGTTATTTTTTCAACGAAAAAAGTTTTTCCTTTAAATATACGTCTTTTATTTACTTGCATACACTCCATTGGCACAGGAGACTTCTTATTAATTATTCAGACATCATCACATGGTGTGTAAACAAAGCCTTTGTGGTTTCAGATCGATCTTCTAGAGGGCCACTCATACACACAGCAGGAAGGGCTGAGCTACATCAGAGATGGTGAAAGTCTACGGGCTGGATTTCTCCTCAGGGACCCGCGAGCAGTAAGCAAAGAATGTAAACAGCGGTGTAGGCTACGAACTGAATCTCATTCAATATTTACAACATTTCTTCTAATGTGGCCGATGGTGGAGGGCGTGCCAAAGGGGTGTGCACACAAATTGTGATCACCTAATAAAAAAAAATATACTGACATACTTGAAGATGAAGAAATCTGAAGAAATTTGCAGTGCACGTAAGTAAAAGCATGTGACCACAATGCTAGCAGGAGGTGTCACCATCTTGGAATAATATTGGCAACATTGGCAACAATTTGCGGAAATTGGCAACCGATTCTTGGCCTTTGATTGACATCAGTGGCATATGGAAATTAGGGACAGCAAACAGAAAAATTTAGACCCCAACGTAAATATTTCTTTAATATTCGTTGCATTAGTGATATTTAATGTTGCCGTTAGAGTCAGAACAAGAACCAGACATTGCTGCATGTGCGTTTTGTTTAGAGACGACAGCGAAGCAAATAAAGTTGCTTGACTGTGGGGTAAAAAGTTTCGACCTACCAGTCAACGTCACAAATTATTGTGCATATTGACTCAACTGACAAAGAATCAGATAATGGAAAACAAAAAGGAAATTTGTAATCCCGGGATCTTTGAGCTGGACGTAAAGTTGTAAGAAAGCTTTTATTTGTTCATGTGACATTTTCATTATTAAGTGGACGTATAACTGCATTGTATCTTAATTACTCAACATAAAGGTGAATAAAAATGACAACCAATCGCGCCCGTCCGGCAACCACTTTTGAAAGTTAGTGTTGAGCCCTGAATGATTAATTAATTAAGATTATTAGCATCAGCTGAACTTTTGAATGTATATTTCCACATAATAAGGACAGAAGATCTGTATTACAAAAGGATCTGTTCAGGAACGGTATGAGCGGGAGGAACAACAGGCATCCGACAACGCTTTCAGTGTTCGTATGGGCGCGTGAGTTCTGAGTTAAGAGAGACCGGGGAGTATTTAAGTGTGCGGTCACAAGGGAGACGACAGAAAATGGATATAACGGCTCGAACCTGCAGTTATGGAGTGTACATTTGTGGGACAATTTCACACCAAAGCACTTTGCAATTGATTGCAAACCCTCAACCGCAAAGTAGTCACATTCTCAGTGATGGCTGAGAGAGGCTCTGTGTTGCTCGGATTAGCCACAAAGTAACTGAATCGGAGGGCAGTTTTTGCTAGCGTGACATAATGTTCCGACTCGACAAAAAAAAGAAAAATGATTAATGATCCAACATTTAGTCTGGAAAGAAAGGAGCCACGTAATCATAAAGTACCATTTAAAGATGGGGAATATGTGAAAAGGGCGCAACCCTGGTGTCACCACCGACCTCACGTAAACACACACTCACACACACTCACACACACACACACACACACACACACACACACACACACACACACACAATGATCGGTGTTCTATATAGTTCTGCCTTCCTGCAAGACTTTTCCAACAGTTATTCAATTGTTTGCTTTACTGTCTGTGATGGTAGATCAATATGCCATATCAGTGTGATGTTATTGTTTTTTCTGTAACCAGCTCAACCTTAGAAAGCTGGATAACAGTGGCACACAACTCCAGACATCAATAATCCAAAATAAACCCAACTAAATATACTCGCGAGTGTTTCTGGAGTTAGTCTCTTAAAGGTCATTGTACTAGAATTATATAACGCTTGAATCACCTCCAGACCTCGACTTATATAATACCGTATGAATGTGAAAGGAGCGCACAAACACTGTGAGGTGTCACTCCACATGTTTCTGCCCCGTCACGGCCATTTTTCACTCTTGATGAACTGTGGCTGTTCATCCGCTACCGCCGCTCATGCTACCTGCCAACCGTTCATCACCAGACACACTATGTAGGAACAAGTTGAATGTAAAAAGCAGCCAAAAAGATATTTATTAATGTTGAAATGTCAAATTATTTAAATATGCACCTCGACAGCCGGATGCGTAACACTGTAATGAGTGTAGCCCAGGATGTAAGGCTCGGAGCCACTCCGCAGGCAGTAAGTGGGAGGGCGACTGTGTTTTCACGACGTGTTTGACATTTAACTCCTAAAAAGTTCATTAAACCCTGCTGCTGCTGCTCCACTCCAGTGCTGTTCCTCTTTAAAACTGCTGAATCATTCATCGGGTACAGCCACAGCCTGTGCGTCCTACGAGCCAGCGCAGTGTCACAGTGACGGATACATAGGGGACTGAAGCAGTAGGGGGGGCAAGAATAGTCTGTGGGATTCCTCGGAGGGGATGTTTCAGGGTTGCGAGGAGGGCCAGGTTTCTCGGGTCGGACTTGGCACAGCCTCAAAGTTGCAGAAGGGTACTTTGTCGATTTGATAAATCAGTTTATCTTTATGGTTTATAAAATGTTGGAGAATCCTCAAAAATTGCCCGACACAATTCTGTGTCTCCAGATTGCTTGTTTTGTCAAAACCAACCGCCTAATACCCAAAGATATTCAGTTTACAATCATATAAGGCAGCCGATCCTCACCGTTGAAAGGTTCGAACCTGCAGTATGTCTCTCTTGCATAACTTAAACCATTCATCGATTATCATCATTTTTAGCAATCAGTTTTCCAACAGTCCTCCAAAGAACACAACAAAATCAGCTGTTTCTCATTGCCTTCCATGAGTACATTTCCTATCAGCAGGAGGCCATGTTTCAGCAACACTTTCCAAAAAATGTTACGCATCTGATCCTTATGTAACAATATGATTTAGACCGTTGGACAAAAACGTGTTGATCTGCCACTATGCTTAAGGCTTGGTAAGCTTCACGAACAGAATGATTTGGTTATGTTTGGGAAAAGAACATGGTTTAGGTTAGAAACAAGAGTCAACAGCCATGCTGGCGGCTATTCAAGGCTTTGAGCTAAATGCTAACACTAGAATGCTAACATGCTCTGGATGACAATTAGGAATGTCAGTTTTGGTGAATTTTGCTTTCTGACACTCATTAATCGGTAACTAACAGGTTACGTTTGAAGAAAATAGGCTTTGGCGCCACATTTTGAAGAGCTGTCCATTTAGAGGTGCTGACATTTTTGTGTTTTGTGTTGTGAATGTCTATATTTCATTTTCTGTTGTCTTTGAATAACTAAGTTTAATGCTGCATTCCCAATCAGTTCATCGTTAAAGGTGCTCTGCTCGGTATGAAGTTCGCTAAAATCACCATCTTAATTCTGTCCAACCCAAAATCCTCCCTATGAGGTTTTTGCAACTTTGTTCGTGACCACATAGAGTTGTAATTCACATGGCGACTAGAGGTGCCTCTCAGGTAAACTTAGATTATATTTGAACAAACATCAAATATGATCTTTTCTTTTGTGAGCACAGTCATTTTCTGTCGATTGACTCATCGTATAATGGGCTATTCGTTCCAAAAGTAGCACGCTTGGCTCATGAACACACATGTGATAGCTCCAGTCTTAACAACAATTGAGGCTGGTTGGAAGGAAACTAGCAAATAAGCAATCTATTTGTAAAATGCTTGTTTAATGCTCTATGATTGCATGTATTTCGTGGGGTGAGCACATCAGAACAGCTGATTAGTAGATTCCCTTTTACATTTTTAGGGCTTCAAATTGATCAACCGGCTCCAGCGGATTTTTGCAGCTGCTGCCCCCAACCCCTCCTCATCTTCCTTTCTTTTACACTGCTGACTGAGAGATTTTAAGTCCATCAGCGATCAGGCTCTCCATTCCTACTCTGGGCTTAAGCATTTGCTTTAATTACATCTGCCACAGAGAGCAAAATATCTCCTTTTGCGCTAAAGCTCTCACTCAGCTGTTTCTATTCCCTGTCTCCGTGGGATGCAGTGGAGATTGAAAACAAATACCTGAAAATAACTCCAAGCTAGATCTAGATCTTTTTATTCTTGCTTTTCCAGGGCATCCAATTGATCATATCAAAGCTCTGTTTCCACTCGCCTGGCCCTTCCCAACCCCTTGCTGTGGGATGAGGATGTCTAAAGGATCAGCTGGATGCTCTGGTGTGTTCTCGTGTGCAGCACATTGCTTTTACTCGTCTCTGAAAGGAATTAGGTCAGCACATGAAACATTCATAAAAGATACATTATGTGTAAATGGCTGACAGCTTAAGTCAAGCAGCCCCCCCCCCCCAAAACATGCCAAGCCCAGTCGCTGGGTAGATCTCTGCCTCGGCTACACCCTGAGGAGTTACAACAAACATGTGGCACACAGAGCGACCCCCCCTTTGAATCCGGTGTTGCTCAAGTACAAATCGTGGACATAAAAGGTCTGTTGGGTGAGAATAGTTAGTTGGTTGCGGATAACATGCAGAGCTGTAAACACACGCCACAAGCCATTCATCTGTTCGGCCACGGCTTCACCGCCACTCTCTTTTTAATTCGGCATTTACTGCGGAGAACTTGAACACACCAGAGCAGCAATTTTTAAGTCCTACTGTACTGCATGGCAGTCTTGTTGTTTAGAGATCCCAGATTGTTTGGTTGTTGGGGGAGGGGAGGTGGTGAGTTTGTGTGTAGCGGGGGCGGGGGGGGGGGTTGTACAGTTCCCCATTTCTTTTTGTGCTGTTCGCTCAATCAAGTCAATACATGGAAGACAAAGACTATCTATATTAATCTTTTCTTTGAAAGGGTAAAAACCCGCCTTGAGAAAGAATAACCACGGTTTATTCCTACGATGCTAATTACATCCCGTGATTTCAGACGACTTACTCTTGATTCATGCAGATGGCAAAATTCTTCCAAAGCTAAAAAAAAAAGAAAAAAAGAAGTATGATAGCAACTCATTTTTTGGACGTTTTGGTACTAGCCAGTGCTGAGAAATGAAGCAAACGCGGCCAATAAACTGCAGTTCTTCGAATGGCCACTCTAGGCTTGCTCCAAAAGCAAGTCAATCCCCATAGACCCCCAAGTTAAATTGCCCAACTTTACAGCAGAAATAAACATGTTTAATGCCTGTAACAAAAAACTAGTCTCTATAGCTAATATTCCAGCTTGTGACAACTCTATGAGGGGGGGGTGCATTTTTATATAACTCACTTTGAGTGACAGGTTGGTGCCATGTCAGGTCGTTAGCTGCTAGCTGTCTGCTCTGCTGCATCGCCTGGGCCCACCTCAGCTCCACCGATGATCCACCCCTGTGCCCATTTTTTGCCTACTCCTGAGTGAAAACGGCCGTAGCCAGGTTTAAGTGCAATCCACAAATTACGTCGTTGATATAAGAGCACCAGAGAACACCAGAGAGCAAGAGAGACAGACAGACAGACAGAGTTGCAGTCTGTGTGTGCTCAGACCAGGCGGCAACCTCTGGTTCTGATAAGTAAATCCAATGTGGAAGTGCCTTAAACTTGCATTCTTTCTGACCAACAGGGGGCGACTCCTGTCTGGTTGTATAGAAGTCTATGAGAAAATTACTCTACTTCTCACTTGATTTATTACCTCAGTAAACATTGTAAACATGAGTTTATGATCTCAATTGCTAGTTTCAAGTATTCCTCAATACAGCATGATGTTCATTTACAGCATTTACAGCATGATGTTCATGATTGTCCCACTTAAAGTAAAATAGACCACAAAGCAGGGTATGCTTTAGGGCGGGGCTACCGTGTGATTGACAGCTCTCTGCCGCTATCAGAACCGTATACGCCGTCTCTACGTCACTCCTCCTCATTCCAAATATGGTCACTTCTGTTCACGGATTGCAAAAAAACAAGAGGGCGACGGCTAAAATGCCGACCAGTGGGTGACGTCACGACTACTACGTCCATTTCTTACATACAGTTTATGGCTTTGGAGCAGATCAGCTGATGGTGATTGATGCAGAGAAGAAGACACACGGATAGTGAGCTTACTGAGTTTTAATGCGACAGAGAAGCAGGACGCTTAACTGGCGACATCACCGTTCGGTGACCTCAGTATTTCTAGAATTCTTGCTACTGCTCCGCATCTACAGCATGAAAGTCCCCCACATAGTGGTGTTTATGTCCTTTCATCACATTGGTGGAGGGTGATGTCATGTTTTGTACTGCCTCTGTGCTGCACCCCAGGGCTCTGTAGTCAGTGGTACCCGGGGACATCTCGGCATAGTGCATAATGGCATGAGAGATGAGTTGGCACAAAAATGAAAAAAATAAAATAAAAAAAAAACCAAGGTGCTTTTGAATTAGCCACTGTACCACTGAGTCTGGGCCAGCTAATAATAAAAAAAAGAATCAATGCTGCACCAAAGACTCGAGGATAAAACTCACTGATGGAACACCCTATTATACAGTCTCAGCAAAGTCACACACAACTTCTCCAATGCTCCGCAATAATCATCACCGTGCTGGCTGTGCTAAATCCTTCATCACTGCTTGCAGATGTTCCACTTTTTAAATGAAATGACATGAGATTTAAAAAAAAAAACTGTTGAGGAGTTGCATCAGCTCTAAAAATACCCACAGACGGAGCATGAAGTTGAGCAAAGTTTGGTTTTCTATGTGGAGTTTTTCCGTTTCAACCCCCCTCTGAATTTTCAAAGCTTATTCCAATGCTTCCAGCGCAGTGTTTGACGGTGTCTCACACCCCTGAGGGGTTGATAAAGTTACTATTCATTTAAAGCTTAAGTCTAATTCCAACTCATTTTAAACCTTGCAACAAAATGCTGAGTAATCCCGAGTCAGTGTCTGTCCATTCTCGCTCTATATGTAGCACGACCTTGGACGGACCGTTTGTCCCTATTCTGCGTGAGAGGTCTGGTGACTGCGGTGCTGGACTTGTGACAGCTTACCTCATTTATGCAACATATACATGTATATCTATCTGCCATGTAGAGCCCCCTTGTGGCAGTTTCACCATACTGTTTCACTTTCAACTGCTCTTGATCCCAATTAGCAGCATTTTTAGACCTCTCCTGCTCGGCCCACGATGAAGATGACTGTCAGCAATTCTCCAGTATCACCTGTGGTTGCTATTTTTTAGAGGGTCCTGCAGACCTCATGTCTGGGCATGTGGTGCGCCACTTCCCCTTCTTTCCTTTTAGTATGCTGGGTGCAAAATAAATACTTTTGCTGTTAGGTAATTAAGTCGGTCGTTTGAACACTTTGTTCCAGACTGAAATATGTCAACTATTGGATGGGTTGCAATGACATTTTATGCGGATACTCATGTTCCCCCAAAGATGAATCCTACTGACTTATAGGTGATCCCCTGACTTTTACTCCAGAGCCACCACAAGGTTCACATTTTTGTGAAATGTCTTGACAACTATTGGATGGATTCCCATGGAATTTGGTACAGACATCCCTGTCCTGCTACCTGTCTTAGGAGGCATTGAAATGACTTCAGTGCTCATCTTGACTTTTCAGCTGACCATCGGGGCAAAATCTTAATTTGTGGTTTGAGTACCTGCAAAGCTAATGGCAGCCCATAAGCCTCAGAGGTACTTTTTTGTGCTATTTAGCAAATGTTAGCATGCTAGCAAGCTTAAGCAAGATGGTGACCATGGTATAATCTAATACCATGTTAGCGTTGTCATTTTGACCATGCTAAATTGAGTACTTCTCTCAAAGCACTGTACCGAATAACAGCCTCGCAGGGCCTTGAGCGTGGCTGTAGACTCTTAGGCTAGATTTACACCGTTTAAAACCAGGGTTTTAAAATGAAAACTATCTCTGTCCACGCGGGCGTTTCAGCATCGTTTTCAAAGTGATTTCCGTCGATACTAGCACACCTGAAAACGAACATCACATGACCATTCACTTACACTGGGCATGCGGGTGACGCTGTTAACAGGAAGTAGATTGGTTGCTTCGTTATATAAAAAACGACAGAGTATTATAGTACTCTTCAATAATTAAAGGTCAGGCTTGATACTTCCTCTCTAATCTCCCTCTATTTACTCAAATTGAAAAATTTTGTGCGAAAAACAACAGTTTTGTTTTTCAAACTTAGTTACAAGGCTGCAGGTCTTGCTCTATGTCTCTCTCACACACACACACACACACACACACACACACACACACACACACACACATATACACTCACACATCAAACTTTGTCACACGCAAGATAGCCAAATTCTTTACAGGCTGACTATTCCATATAAAGCCCACCATGTGCACGGAAGTGACATTTTTCTATTATTTTTTTCTATTACCAGCCATGCACACCTCTCATCCCATCTCATCTCTAACTGCAGTTGCTGTGAAATGACTCACGTGGCTGGGAAGAGAAGAAGGATTTTTTGCACATGCTCCATGCTGAGCTGGTAGGAGGAGTCAGCCGCCAGGTGCCAGGTTTGCCATTCTCTCTGTTCGATCACAGCTCTGAATTCGGAATGAGACAAACGTGACTCATGTATATAGGCTTCCTGATTAATAAAACATGAGGCACCCCGATTCAAATGAAAGGAATCCTAATCTCCCCATCAGGCCCCTCTCCACCTCCTCTGCCTAAATGAGAGGACTAAACGGAGGCCTATCGGTAGCTGATAGGTGTGGGTGCAGTGGGGGTGAGGGGGCATTGGTTTGAGGACCAGGGAGAAAGCCTTTTATGTTAGAGCAGCATGTCAGATTAGTAGCACTGCCCCAGCTAAAATAGGGAGATGATGGGGGGGGGCAATGTGCATCAGGAAAGATACCCACAGTTTGCTGCTCTGTTCAAGCAACTCTCCGACACCACCGGGATGTCAGTCAGCGCCATGATTTCACTGTAGAAGCCAAAATAATGTATCTGTAATCAGCACAATAAGAACAGATCTATTATCTGTGCTTTTCATTTTGAATATCACATTTCATTTAAAGGAAAATTGAGGTTAATTAGAACTGCTGAGTCTTGCTTTTGTTGTTTTGGCCATAATTTCTGTTAATCACGACAACAGCGTATACTCACCAAGTTAATTGTTGAGATCTGGAACGAGGTGATGTCGCTACAACAGAGTCTGACAGCTCAAATAACACCAGCAGTCAGATGACTATACAGGTTGTAATCTATTACTTTATTTGGATGTAAAACAGAGTATGCCTGAAATGCTGCCCATCGTCTCGCATTGCACCAGAAAACTGCGCGCGCACACGACCACTGTTGTAGCCTATAGGTGAAAGTTAAAACAGGAAGTTTGGGGAATGATTTCACCATTCCACTTTGTTTTCTATTCCAAATGAGCGTGACTTTATGGGGGTCTAATCGTCTTACTACTAATCTTGCTTGGTTGGACTTCTATAAGATCATTCCCAGATCTTGTTATCATAACCTTAATTAGCCTTTAAGTCTGGTTCTATTGCTAATGTTGCATTCACGTGGAATCAGGCAGACGGACAACACCTTCTGGGCGACACGGGGAAACAATCAGTCCAACGGAATGGCAGGCACAAAATGTTGCTATGGTGATGTTGTATTAAGAATGAAATAAAATATATCAAATACAATTATTTTGAGTCTATTACCTTATGTTAACAATTGTATATCTAGATTTAGTTTTGTGTTTTTTTACTTGCCATAGTTATAATTATTTGTTATCACAATTATATAGTGTATATATATATATATATATATATATATATATATATATATATATATATATATACACAGTATATATATTCAGACTACCCTTATTATATATATACAATATTTTACAGTCCTGTTTGCAATCTACCGTCTACCTGATTCCATGTGAATTCAGCATAACTTGTATACAAACAGTTCACCTGCTGGTTGCTAACTCTGCCTGCCTTCTGTTTGGTGCAATGAGAGCAGTGAGATTGAAATAAAAAAAAACAGTCAAGTTGTGGGCCACAAAACCAAATCAACCATGAAAAGAAAACACTCCGGGGGACTGCAGAGCCTCCACATTATAAGTCAAACAAAGATATTGATTATTGCAGCTTTTAAGTTCAGTTCAAAGCAGGTGCAAGATGACACTTTTCTGAAAATGACACATTGCATATTAGATATTGATTACAAATGCGAGCCAAACCAATTAATTGTGAATATATTGTACCGTTATTATTTCATAGTGCCTGATGAATTGATGCATTAAACTCATGTGGCTACACCAGTTTTGGCTTCATTTTCCAATATCACACTCGTCTTCACTGCCAGCCGACTGTAGAAGTTGGACCGAATTGGAGTCGCTACGCCAAGTTCTGTTTGAAGGCGCGTTAATAAGAGTCGCCGCCGTCTCTCTCCTGATGAGAGAAACGCATATCCGGTTTTGCCAACTGCCAGCCTATGTGCCAACATTTGAATGCAGCCTGAGTTCTCAGCCTTGGGGCTCAAGCGTTTTGGCTGCACTTGC